AGCCGTGCAGGGAGGAGGGTCGGCATGCATCAGGGTTGTGGCCGGGGCTGGGACATCTAGGTTAAGTCCTTCCCATGTGGCATCAACCCAGAGACTACGAGACACATGGCCAGCTCCTAGTGAGAGAGGTCTTCCAGAAAGGAAGTCTCCGGAAGAGGGGTCTCTGATGCTGAGTCCAGTGCCCCTCGAGAAGGAGTGCCTCGGCCTCGGCCTAGCCGGGCTCGCGTTAGACTCCCGGCCGCAGCCACAGAACCCGGATGGCTTAGTGTCTGTGTGCGGGCAAAGCCTGTCCTTCGCTGGGTGGGTTCTGGGGTTCAGGCAGTGCCACTGTCTCCACCTCTCACCTCTGCTTAGCCCTGTCTTTATGTCTCAACAAACCCACCACCACAGCCGGGGGAGGGGGGGGTCTCTAATCATCGCCCGGCCCCGGGAGAGGCCGGAGCCCAGCTCTTCCGGGGAGGGAGGATGGAAGGATGAAAGATTGTACTGTGCCAGCAGCCAAATCCTGATCCACCCAGAGCCCTCCAGTTGGGGAAACTGAGGCTAAAGGATGACAAAGCCTTTCCATGAGACAGGAGGCGTGGGCAGGGAAGGATTTTTCCTCAATGACGGGTCAGTTTGCAAAGAACAGAGAGCAGAGCCCTTGGAAAGCAGGAGTTCTCCAAGTCCAAATATAGCCATGGCCCTCTACAGATGCTGGGCCACGGCCAGAGGCCAAAGCCCGGGGTCGAGGCCGAAGCCCCGCAGAGCCCGGGTCACCTCACAGAGCCTGTCTTAGCCTAGTTTCAGTTGTTAATATACAAAAAACATAGACTGCTTCAACATCTCCTGCTTTGTTGTTTTTTTTGGGGGGAAGTGTCCGGTCGTGGGGCCTGAACTCTTGGGCCTGGGCGCTGCCCCTCAGCTCTCCAGCTCAAGGTTAGCACTCTACAACACCACTTCCGGCTTTCTTCTTATATGGTGCTTATGGATGGAACTCGGGGCCTCATGCATGCGAGGCAAGCGCTCTACCCCTGAGCCGCCGTCCCAGCCCCGTGCTTTGTGTTTGAGACAAGGGTCTCGAGCGCTCTGCCACATTCTCCTGCCCCAGCCTTCCAAGCATTGATGTTGCAAGCCTACGCCACACAGCTGGTCCAGACGCCATACATTTTAAAGGAACGAGTTTGAAGGTCCAGTGCTGAAGGATTGAATCTGGTGTGGACTTTCTTGCTGGGAAATTCCAGAGGCAGTAAAAGTGTATCAGATGGCAAAAAAAAAAAAAAAAAAGTGTGTGTATTCATGTGTGCATATGTGCGCATGTGTACATGATCTCTTTTTTGGTGGTGCTGGGGTCAGAGGGTCTTACACACGCTCTGCCCACTCTGCTGGGGTCAGAGGGTCTTACACACGCTCTGCCCACTCTGCTGGGGTCAGAGGGTCTTACACACGCTCTGCCCACTCTGCTGGGGTCAGAGGGTCTTACACACGCTCTGCCCACTCTGCTGGGGTCAGAGGGTCTTACACACGATCTGCCCACTCTGCTGGGGTCAGAGGGTCTTACACACGCTCTGCCCACTCTGCTGGGGTCAGAGGGTCTTACACACGCTCTGCCCACTCTGCGGTGAGCCGCTGCGCAGCCTCTCACCAATCCCGCAGCCGCAGCCCGATGACCCAGTGCACTCCTCGTCACCCCCAAAGCCAGGCTGCCAGCCTCAGTCAGATTCGTTCCCACGCTCTGACTGGCTCAGTGTGGAGAGTACTGCCGACATGAGGTTCAAGGGGACAAACCATCCTCAGCCAGAGCAATTGGTGTAGAAAAGAAAGCACAGCACAACATACATTTGTCTTGAAAAAAATAAGATTAGAATGACTGAAGCATTTGGTTTAATATTGACCTTAGATAAGAACTTGACTAGCCAGGCACAATGGTGCTGAAGCAGGACTAGGAGTTAAAGGCCAGATTGGACTCCAAAGTGCGGCCCTGTCACAGAAAAAGGTAGGGACAGGTAGAGAGAGTCCAAAAGCATTGTTCTATTTTACATCCCCACAACAGTAAATGAGAGTTTCATTTGCTCCACATCCAACCCTTAAGAGTTTTTAAATTCTGACCATTCTAGTAGGTAGGGAGTAGCATCTCATTATGATTTAAATGAGTATTTCCCTAATGAGCCTCATCTGTGATTATTGGCTACCTCCATTTCTCCTTGTTCTTTTTCATCAGTATTTAACCACGTGCAGGCTCTCAAGAGCTCCTGCCAGACACAAACTTCTAACTCATTCCATGACAAACCCAGGTCTGATGTCTCCTGGCCGCTGGGAAGCCTTCCGACTTCTCAGAACACAGTTCACCCTTGGCGCCAGCCAGCACTAAAGCCACCTGAGAACGTGAAAGACTGATTTTCTACCAGTTTTCCTCACAAACTGTCACGGTTTCCCTAGTGCTTTCCAGCTGCTCCTGGGCCTGGGGGTCGGCTGGTGCCCTTGATGCCACTGGGGTCACCTTTGCCCTTCCCTGGGTGACAAAACACTCATCATTAAGGCCCAGGTCAAGGGGCCCTGCTCTGAAACCTTCCGCCTCAGAGCTGACGGTCCCCCGCCCCTGTGGCCCTCCCCTTGGTACTCCCCCATGGGCTTCCCCCAGTACCCTCCATGACTCTCCCCCCTTGGTGCCCCTCCCCCCCAGCGCGCCACCCTCCCCCCCCCCCCCCCCCCCCGGTGGCACCTGGTCCCCCATGCTGGCTGTGAAGCAGCAGCTTTTCCTTGCTGGAGTTTAACTCCTGTGGAGCAGCTACCTTGTCTCGCTATATCTGGAAGCCCCCATCAACTGTTGCTTAGTGCAACTTGACAATGTCAACTAAGTAAATAAGTGCACAACACACCGGACGCTGGGGCTCACACCTGTAATCCCAGCCTCAGGAGGTGAGATCTGAGGATCACTGTGTAAAGTCAGCCCAGGCCAGAAAAGTCCCATGAGACTCTCACCTCCAATTAACTACCAAAAAGCCAGAAATGGAGCTGTGGTTCAAGTGGTAGAACTCAGAGTCAGCACCCAGGCCCTGAGTTCAAGTCCCAGGACTAGCACCTGTACGTGTATATGTGTGCACAGTGCTCTCCATGATCTCTGGCCCTTGCTGCCCACGGAGGCCCCTTGGTAGCAGCAGCCGGGGGTTTGGGTGCCTGGTATTTTCCCATGTCCTCCCACGTTTCAGCGCCCCTCTACAACTTGCAGCACCTAGTAAGCACGAGGCTGCTCTGCTTGCTGGACGCCTCTGACACGTCTGCAGGGGCCACGGGCGTCTGTGCAAGGGGAGGCCGGGCTGGAGCTGAGGCTGGGGACGCAGCTCGGCGCAGGAGCACTTGTCTGGCACACCGCTCCAGGTCCTGGCTTCCATCTTCAACAGCTGAACAGCAGCATACACCATATTTAACGCCACTGGGCTGTATATGTTGACAAAGGCTTCATAGGTTAAAATGTATGCTATGTGTTTTTTATGATTTTTTAAATCTAACATCTCCGAGGAGACAGGTTTTTGGAATCCCTGATGCTACTCACTCCCCTCCCCTCAAAAAATAGACCTAACTCAGGGCCGATTCAGTTCAGGTTTCCTAGCCGGAGTATGGGAAAGCAGGAGGCGTCACCGGGCCTCTAAAACACCTCTTCCGCCTACTTGTAGGACTGGCCTGCCCAGTGGTTCTGTCTCTCTTTCTCACTTTCAAATCAACAGGGATTGTGAGAATGAGTAGGGATGGCGCCTCATTACGCTGCCACCTCAGCTCGAGCTCATACTCTTAACAATTCAGGAAACGGCGGAGCTACCCCCCCCCCCCCACCACAGAGCTCAGTTTTCAAACAGCTCAGGTTTCCTTCCACCCTTCCAGAAAGATGAAGTAGTAAAGTTGTTGCTTGTCTGCTTAAAGGTGGATGGTATCAGCAGGGCCTGGTCAGTGCTTGGAAATGCCAGGCTGAACAACGAGAAACACGGATGATGCCGGACTTCATGGTACCGTTAGGCGGAGCATTCCTGCTCTGACTGGAAGGGGAGGCGGCTCTATGTGGTGGAAGGAGCTTATTCGGCCTCAGCAATTCACGTGATTGCCACACTGGACGGAGTTACCAGCTCTTGGGATTAAGTTTTTTAAAGCAAGAAATGAGCCCTTCGGAGGTGAGTGCAAGGCCCTGAGTTCGATGCCCAGCGTCCCGTGAGCCCTGAGCTCGACCTGAAGCCCAGCCCCACGACTGCAGCTCCCTCGTGGCCCTGTTTGGCCTCCGTGGCGTCTGCGTTGGGAGGAGCTGTGGGTCCTGCTCCGGTGACCCAGCAGCCTCCAGCAGGCCTGGAGCCCTGCTGCTCCCGGGACAGTCTCGGCCTGCCTCTCAGATGCTGTGACAAGGGTGCGGAGCAGGAACATGGGTGTCCCGGGCTCCAGGCCGGAGCTGACCCGGGGCTTTTATCTTGAAGTATAAATAGAATCCCACAGGAGAGTTCCCCTCTTCGTTTAAAGTATGAGCCTCAGCGGAACAGCTCCCCCCAGCCACCCCCACGCCAGGGTGTAAGGTCCCCTCCTAGATGGCTAGCAGACTCCACCCTTTGTAGCAAAGTCTCCACCCAGTACCTGCGTTACCTAGGCAACTGGGACACCTGGAAGAGGTCACATCTGAATTTGATGTGGCCGCACCTTTCTCCGCCCATACCCTAGATAAGGGCTAGCCCAGGCCCAGACGCTCTCTCTCTGTTCTTTTCTAGCTCTCCCTGCTCTCTCTGTTCTTTTCTAGCTCTCTCTGCTCTCTGCTCTTTTCTAGCGCTTTTCTCTCTCTTTCCCAGGCCTTTCCCAGCCGCGTGGAGTGCCAACCTTGCCTGGTCCCAGCAGGTCTACTGAATAAACCTACCCCTTACCTGAATACCACGTGAGTTCTGCTGTTCTTACTCGGCTACCTCTTTTTAAAAACCTAACACAGGGGCCCTGAAATAGCCGGCCGCATGGAAAAGACAGGCAGCCTGGTACCGGCCGTGGTTCATTTTCCTTCAAGCAGACGCAAGCTCCTGCGGAGAACGTGGCTTTGCCTGTCCCCTGCCCTCCCCGTCCCCGCCCGGCCCGTTTCCTCCGTGGCTCCCGTGGTGGGTGAGGGGCTCCGTGGCTCCCGTGGTGGGTGAGGGGCTCCGTGGCTCCCGTGGTGGGTGAGGGGCTCCGTGGCTCTCGTGGTGGGTGAGGGGCTCCACCATGGCTCCCGTGGTGGGTGAGGGGCTCCACCATGGCTCCCGTGGTGGGTGAGGGGCTCCGTGGCTCCCATGGTGGGTGAGGGGCTCCGTGGCTCCCATGGTGGGTGAGGGGCTCCGTGGCTCTCGTGGTGGTGAGGGACTCTGTGGCTCTCGTGGTGGTGAGGGACTCTGTGGCTCTCGTGGTGGTGAGGGGCTCCGCTGTGGCTCCCGTGGTGGGTGAGGGGCTCCGTGGCTCCCGTGGTGGGTGAGGGACTCCGTGGCTCTCGTGGTGGTGAGGGGCTCCGTGGCTCTCGTGGTGGTGAGGGACTCCATGGCTCTCGTGGTGGGTGAGGGGCTCCGCCGTGGCTCCCGTGGTGGGTGAGGGGCTCCGCTGTGGCTCCCGTGGTGTGTGAGGGGCTCCGTGGCTCTCGTGGTGGGTGAGGGGCTCCGCTGTGGCTCCCGTGGTGGGTGAGGGGCTCCACCATGGCTCCCGTGGTGGGTGAGGGGCTCCGTGGCTCCCGTGGTGGGTGAGGGGCTCCGCCGTGGCTCTCGTGGTGGTGAGGGGCTCCGTGGCTCTCGTGGTGGGTGAGAGGGCTCCGCTGTGGCTCTCGTGGTGGTTGAGGGGCTCCGCCGTGGCTCCCGTGGTGGTGAGGGACTCCGTGGCTCTCGTGGTGGTGAGGGGCTCCATGGCTCCCGTGGTGGGTGAGGGACTCCGTGGCTCTCGTGGTGGGTGAGGGGCTCCACCATGGCTCTCGTGGTGGTTGAGGGGCTCCGCCGTGGCTCTCGTGGTGGTTGAGGGGCTCCGCTGTGGCTCTCGTGGTGGTGAGGGGCTCCATGGCACTCGTGGTGGGTGAGGGACTCCACTGTGGCTCTCGTGGTGGTGAGGGGCTCCGTGGCTCTCGTGGTGGTTGAGGGGCTCCGCCGTGGCTCCCGTGGTGGGTGAGGGGCTCCGCCGTGGCTCTCGTGGTGGTTGAGGGGCTCCGCTGTGGCTCTCGTGGTGGTGAGGGGCTCCGTGGCTCTCGTGGTGGTTGAGGGGCTCCGCTGTGGCTCTCGTGGTGGTTGAGGGACTCCGTGGCTCTCGTGGTGGTTGAGGGGCTCCGCTGTGGCTCTCGTGGTGGTGAAGGGCTCCATGGCTCTCGTGGGTGAGGGGCTCCGCTGTGGCTCTCGTGGTGGTGAAGGGCTCCATGGCTCTCGTGGGTGAGGGGCTCCGTGGCTCTCGTGGTGGGTGAGGGGCTCCGTGGCTCTCGTGGGTGAGGCTCTGCCGTGGCTCTCGTGGTGGGTGAGGGGCTCCGTGGTTCCCGTGGTGGGTGAGGGGCTCCGTGGTTCCCGTGGTGGGTGAGGGGCTCCGTGGCTCTCGTGGTGGGTGAGGGGCTCCACCATGGCTCCCGTGGTGGGTGAGGGGCTCCATGGCTCTCGTTGTGGTGAGGGGCTCCGTGGCTCCCGTGGTGGGTGAGAGGGCTCCGCTGTGGCTCTCGTGGTGGGTGAGGGGCTCCGCTGTGGCTCTCGTGGTGGGTGAGGGGCTCCGGCGTGGCTCTCGTGGTGGTGAGGGGCTCCGTGGCTCTCGTGGTGGGTGAGGGGCTCCGTGGCTCTCGTGGTGGGTGAGGGGCTCCGTGGCTCTCGTGGTGGTTCAGGGGCTCCGCCGTGGTTCTCATGGTGGGTGAGGGGCTCCGTGGCTCTCGTGGTGGGTGAGAGGGCTCCGCCATGGCTCTCGTGGTGGGTGAGAGGCTCCGCCGTGGCTCTCGTGGTGGTGAGGGGCTCCATGGCTCTCGTGGTGATGAGAGGCTCCGTGGCTCTCATGGTGGGTGAGGGGCTCCACCGTGGCTCCCGTGGTGGGTGAGGGGCTCTGTGGCTCTCGTGGTGGTGAGGGGCTCCGTGGCTCCCGTGGTGGGTGAGAGGGCTCCGCTGTGGCTCTCGTGGTAGGTGAGGCTCCGCCGTGGTTCTCGTGGTGGTGAGGGGCTCCGCCGTGGCTCCCGTGGTGGTGAGGGGCTCCGTGGCTCTCGTGGTGGGTGAGAGGGCTCCGCCGTGGCTCTCGTGGTGGGTGAGGGGCTCCGCCGTGGCTCTCGTGGTGGGTGAGGGGCTCCGCCATGGCTCTCGTGGTGGGTGAGGGGCTCCGCCGTGGCTCCCGTGGTGGGTGAGGGGCTCCGCTGTGGCTCTCGTGGTGGTGAGGGGCTCCGTGGCTCTCGTGGTGGTGAGGGGCTCCGTGGCTCTCGTGGTGGGTGAGAGGGCTCCGCCATGGCTCCCGTGGTGGGTGAGAGGGCTCCGCTGTGGCTCTCGTGGTGGGTGAGGGGCTCTGCCGTGGCTCTCGTGGTGGGTGAGGCTCCGCCGTGGTCTTCAGGGACAATGTCAGCCCACTCACCGCTGTCCATCATTGGCTTGAGAAGAAAATGCTTTTCCTGGGCTCTTCCTTGGCGTTCCCTCCTTCCCACAGCCGATGGTTTACATGGAAACAGCCCTGGAGCTCCGTGGAAACAGGACCCACAAGGCGGGGGCCCTGCGGGGCCGTGGGAGCCAGGGGCTGAGCGCCTGCCTCCCAGAGCTGGAAGGGCCCTGCGGCTGGCCGCACACAGCACGTCCTAACAAGACCTGCATGCTCGAGTCCCTGAGACCAGGCCCCGGGGGCCACCTCTGGAATTTGCTTTTCTCACTTATTCATGTTGTTAGTTTAACTAATTTAGGTAGCACTAGAGTTTGAACTCAGAGCCCTGGGATCCTCAGGCAGGGGTTCTACTGCTTGACAGGCCTCAGCCCCAGCTCTAGTTGTGTATCAGATAAGGTCTTCATTTTTGAGTCAAGAAACTTCAAACAATCATCTGCCCAGTGTCTACCTTCCAAGCAGCTGGGATTACAGGTATACACATAGCGCCTGGCTTGGATTTGCCTCTGGTGGCAATAGAAATGCTACGCTGAGTGCCGAGCGTGGGGCTGGCGGGGATCCCCAGCCCGTGGCACTGACCGTGGGAAGGGGTGCAGACCAGGCCAGGCCAGGGTCACCTCCCAGAAGCGCCCCTCAGGTGCTCTGGCAGGCCTTTGAACCTCTTCTTTGGACCCTACGTCCCAGCACACCTCTGGCTAAGGAGGAAATGGAGGCCACATGATTGGGCAAAGCCAAGTAAGGATGTCGCTCTGACGACTTGGTCCTGCGGCAAGCTCCTCCCCAACACACCCTGCCTCTCCCGACCTTCCCGCCAGCGCTCAAGAGCCCGGTGGCCCAGGCGCTGCCTGCCCATGGAGGACCACGGGGTCCAGAGCCACGGGGGAGGGGGTGAGCACGGTGAGGGTGTGTGTGATCCTGGGAGCACAGTGTGTGTGATCCTGGGAGCACGGTGAGTGTGATCCTGGGAGCACGGTGAGGGTGTGTGTGATCCTGGGAGCACGGTGAGGGTGTGTGTGATCCTGGGAGCACTGTGTGTGTGATCCTGGGAGCACAGTGTGTGTGATCCTGGGAGCACGGTGTGTGTGTGATCCTGGGAGCACGGTGTGTGTGATCCTGGGAGCACGGTGTGTGTGATCCTGGGAGCACGGTGTGTGTGATCCTGGGAGCACGGTGAGGGTGTGTGATCCTGGGAGCACAGTGTGTGTGATCCTGGGAGCACGGTGAGTGTGTGTGATCCTGGGAGCACGGTGAGGGTGTGTGTGATCCTGGGAGCACGGTGAGGGTGATCCTGGGAGCACGGTGAGTGTGTGTGATCCTGGGAGCACGGTGAGGGTGTGTGTGATCCTGGGAGCACGGTGTGTGTGTGTGATCCTGGGAGCACTGTGTGTGTGATCCTGGGAGCACGGTGAGGGTGTGTGATCCTGGGAGCACGGTGAGTGTGTGTGACCCTGGGAGCACTGTGTGTGTGATCCTGGGAGCACGGTGAGTGTGTGTGATCCTGGGAGCACGGTGAGTGTGTGTGATCCTGGGAGCACAGTGTGTGTGATCCTGGGAGCACGGTGAGGGTGTGTGTGATCCTGGGAGCACAGTGTGTGTGATCCTGGGAGCACGGTGTGTGTGATCCTGGGAGCACGGTGAGGGTGTGATCCTGGGAGCACGGTGTGTGTGATCCTGGGAGCACGGTGTGTGTGATCCTGGGAGCACGGTGAGGGTGTGTGTGATCCTGGGAGCACAGTGTGTGTGATCCTGGGAGCACGGTGTGTGTGATCCTGGGAGCACGGTGAGGGTGTGTGTGATCCTGGGAGCACGGTGCGTGTGATCCTGGGAGCACGGTGAGGGTGTGTGTGATCCTGGGAGCACAGTGTGTGTGATCCTGGGAGCACGATGTGTGTGATCCTGGGAGCACGGTGAGGGTGTGTGTGATCCTGGGAGCACGGTGTGTGTGATCCTGGGAGCATGGTGAGTGTGTGTGTGATCCTGGGAGCACGGTGAGTGTGTGTGTGATCCTGGGAGCACGGTGTGTGTGTGTGATCCTGGGAGCACGGTGAGGGTGTGTGTGATCCTGGGAGCACTGTGTGTGTGATCCTGGGAGCACGGTGAGTGTGTGTGATCCTGGGAGCATGGTGAGGGTGTGTGTGATCCTGGGAGCACGGTGAGAGTGTGTGATCCTGGGAGCACGGTGAGGGTGTGTGTGATCCTGGGAGCATGGTGAGGGTGTGTGTGATCCTGGGAGCACGGTGCGTGTGATCCTGGGAGCACGGTGAGAGTGTGTGATCCTGGGAGCACGGTGAGGGTGAGTGTGATCCTGGGAGCACGGTGAGGGTGTGTGTGATCCTGGGAGCACGGTGAGGGTGTGTGTCTGTGATCCAGGCTGCGTCCCGCATGCCTGCTCAGACCCCTGCTGCCTTCAGAGCCCCCCCCCCCCGCCCTCCCCTCCCCTCCTCCCACTCCTCCTCACCCAGCGGGCGCTCCTCCTGAGCCCCCCACCCCTCCCTCCCCTCCCCCTCCCCCCCTCCCCTCCCCCTCCCCCCTCCCCTCCCCTCCTCCCACTCCTCCTCACCCAGCGGGCGCTCCTCCTGAGCCCCCCACCCCTCCCTCCCCTCCCCCTCCCCCCTCCCCTCCCCTCCTCCCACTCCTCCTCACCCAGCGGGCGCTCCTCCTGAGCCCCCCACCCCTCCCTCCCCTCCCCCCTCCCCCCTCCCCTCCCCTCCTCCCACTCCTCCTCACCCAGCGGGCGCTCCTCCTGAGCCCCCCACCCCTCCCTCCCCTCCCCCTCCCCCCCTCCCCTCCCCTCCTCCCACTCCTCCTCACCCAGCGGGCGCTCCTTCTGAGCCCCCCACCCCTGCCACTGCTTCCATACTTGTGGCATCTTGCACAGACAGCATGGAAAGGAAGTTGGCAGGCGCCCTGGGTCTCAGCCCATCGAATGCCAAAGTGAATAGGGTGGTGGGCCGGGAAGAACTCCCTGATCAAGCGCAGGTCATGCACAGCCAGCCTCAAGCTAGACATGCACCACGGAGACCACACGCGTCTGCTGAACCACGCGGACGCGCAGCCCCAGCCCATGGACGCGCGCAGGCCCGAGGCCGCGGGGAAGCCTGTCCCCGCGCTCAGCCCTCACGCTCCTACCACGGCTGGTCCCTCGCCTTGCACCTGCCTCTCCCTCCATCTTGCCCTCTACATTTGGGTCACTTAACAGACAAGGATCCTGGCTAAAAATAAATCCTCATTCTCCTCTGAAACACACTTTGTTCTCCGAGCTCCAGCGGACACTGCAGGTGCACGGACGCACACTTGTAAAATAAACCCGCAAGGCTCCTCAAAGCCTGGACTGTTCCAGAGACTTCATTCAGACGCCGCCGGCCTTCTGTCTCTTTGTTTTCGTTCATTTTGTTTTAGTTTGGTTTGGTTGTTTTGAGACACGTTCTCTCCATGTGCAAAGGCTGACTTCACACCGTGAAGCCTCCTGGGCGCTGGGGTGGCAGGTTTGTACCACGGTGCTGGGCGCTGGGCGCTGGGGTGGCAGGTTTGTCCCACGGCACTGGGCACTGGCAGGTTTGTACCACGGCGCTGGACACTGGCAGGTTTGTACCACGGCGCTGGGGCGGCAGGTTTGTACCACGGCGCTGGGTGCTGGCAGGTTTGTACCATGGCACTGGACGCTGGGGCGGCAGGTTTGTACCATGGCGCTGGGCGCTGGGGTGGCAGGTTTGTCCCACGGCACTGGGCGCTGGGGCGGCAGGTTTGTCCCACGGCGCTGGGCGCTGGGCGCTGGGGCGGCAGGTTTGTACCATGGCGCTGGGCGCTGGGGTGGCAGGTTTGTACCACGGCACTGGGCGCTGGGGTGGCAGGTTTGTACCACGGCACTGGACACTGGCAGGTTTGTCCCACGGCGCTGGGCGCTGGGGTGGCAGGTTTGTACCACGGCGCTGGGCGCTGGGGTGGCAGGTTTGTAACACAGCACTGGGCTATTTTATTTTTAATGAAACAGCTCTCACTCGGTAGCGCCTCCTCCCCCTCCCCCCATCTGGAACTTGTGATCCCCCTGCTTCCACTCCCAAGTCACGCCACAGATCATGGAGGGGTCCTCTCCTGGAATTGGCAGCCCCCTTTTCTGGTGTGTGGCGCTGGGGACCAGCCCAAGCTGCCTGCACTCAGGGAGAGCTGCGCCACGGCCCCTCCCCGGCCCCCTGGTGTGTTTTTGGTGTTGCTGTGTTAGCTGTGTTAGCCTTCCCTCCAGGGAAGAGATTCTTGAGATAAATCCACTTAAAAGAGAGGGAAGGTTCCAGTCCTGGGCGGGCAGGCCCACAGCTTTGGGCCTGTGGCAAGGCAGACGTCATGGACGCAGGTGGTGAAGGAAGCACCCAGCTCAGGACACGGAGAAGCAAGAAGGGGGGCCGGGGGGGGGGGGAGAGGGGGGCTG